TACGCGTGTGTGTGTGTGTGTGTGTGTGTGTGTGTGTGTGTGTGTGGTGGTTTTGGGTTGCAGGCCTCTTTGGCACCCAGGGTAGGGGTATGTGAGAGATAAAAAGAAACCCAACAGAATTCACCATGTTGTTATTTCTCAAGTCCTGAAGTTCCTAGCCAGTCCATCTTCTTTTTTTCCTGCTTCCAGAGTCCTTTCATCATTATTGGTTGAATAACTTCTAGGAAATATAATTGTATTTGTAGGAGAGGAGCAGGGAAAATGAGTCTAAATCATGTTGTTCTGAAACTATATGTCCCCTAGTGTAGTTTTTAAAATAACATTTTGGTATGAGTGAATATTTGAGAATCTTTTGATGAGTTTTATTTTATTTTTAAATATATTTTTATTGATTTCAGAGATGAAGGGAGGGAGATAGAAGCATCAATGATGAGAAAGAATTGTTGATCAGCTCCTTCCTGCATGCCCCCTACTGAGGATTGAGCCTGCAACCTGAGCATGTGCCTTTGACTGGAATCGAACTTGGGACCCTACAGTCTGCAGGCCGATGCTCTATTCACTGAGCCAAACTGGCTAGGGCTTTTGATGAGTTTTAAAGCCATTTTAATTTCTTTTTCTGTATTTAATTTTGATATCATTTGCTCATTTTTATATTAGGCTGGTGGTCTTTGACATTGATTTGTAACAGCTGTTTTTCATATTCACTATGAGTTGCAGAAATTTACTCCAGATTATTGTTTCTCTCTTTAAAAAATATTTTTATTGATTTCAGAGAGGAAAGGAGAGGGAGAGACAGATAGAAACATCAATGATGAGAGAGACTCATTGATTGGCTGCCTCCTGCACTCCCCCTACTTGGAATCGAGCTGTAAGCCGGGTATGTGCCCTGACCAGGAATTGAACCTCCACCTCCTGATTCATAGGTCAATGCTCAACCACTGAACCACACAACTAGGCTATTGTTTCTCTTGATTTTGCCTTTTTAATGGTATTTTTGCCTTGCCAGTTTTTAAAAATATAGTTGAATATATAAATCTCTTCCATAACGTCTGGTTTTGTGTCCTTCTTGGAAGGCCTCCTCATTTCAAGATTAAAAAAAAAATCTCCCCATATTTTCTTCTAGTATTTTTATGGTTTTACTTTTTCATTAAAATTTTTTTTGGTCCATCTGGAATTTATTTTTGTGTAAAGTGTGAGGTAGTGTATCCAATTGTTCCAAAGCATTTATTGAGTAGTCCATCATTACCTCTCTACTTTGAAATGCTACCTTTAAAAAAATGTGGTTAAAAAACACACAATATAAAATTTACCATCTTTACCATTTTAAGTGTACAGTTTAGTAGTGTTAAATTATTCGCATTGCTGTGCAACAGATCTCTAAAATTTATCTTGCAAAAGTGAAACTATATTCAGTGAACAATAACTCCCCATTGAAATGCTGCCCTTTCATCATAGTCTAGTGTCTGGTCTTTTTCACTTCTTGCCTAAATCACCGTAACAGCTTTCTAGCATCACCATAATTCCAATTGCCATGCACAGTATAGCCTGGTTCATTTTCCTCATGCAAGCTCTGACCACAGCATTCCATTATTCAAAACCTTCAGAAGCCCTTCGTGATATATTGCAATTGAAATTAAGTCCCTCATTATACTCTTTCATAGCACCTGTAACTTTTTTCATGTCTCTTTTCATAATTTGTAATTATCTGCATGATATTTGACTGTTGTCTATATCCTAGCTAAACTTAAAATTTCATGAGAGAAAGGGCAATGTGTTCACCACATATTTGCAGTGCTTAGTGCGCACCTGGTACTTAGTAGGTACTCAGTCCATGTTTGAGGAATGATAGGTTCCCCTTGGTCTGTGGAATAAAGTAGAAACAATGCAAGATCTGATTCAAACTTAATCTTCTCTCAGCTTTCTGCCCTTCAAGGAAATTAAGCTGCTAGATTTTTCACCCTTCCCTGACAAAGCCATGGGCTTTCTCATGTTTGGCTCTGGTTTACAGCATGCCCTGATCTTTTCATTTGTGCCATGTCCTCCCCTCAGTTCCCCACCAGCATTGCTGCCTTGTGGAAATCCAATTCATCCTTCAAGAATATCACTGTCTCCACCACTGGACTGTGAGTTCCTTGAGACCAGAGACAGAGTCCCCTGATTTGCCCCCAGGGAGCATAATAGTTCCTGATCTCTAGGAGGTGCTCTTGGTTACACATCTTCAACTGCACCTAGGCTACAGGCTCCTTGAGGGCAGGCAGTGTTCCTTACCTGTGTGCATCTGGGAACCTTGCTTCCTAGCTCCCAGCGAGAGACTTGGAGTTGGCTTCAGAAATATTCCTGGTAACCTACTGAACCTGTCTAGTTGTGTTATGAGGGGCCTGAATATGAAATAGTGTGGCAGGGGCAGAGGCTTCCCTGCCTTCCCCCCACTGTGCCCTGTGACATTCCATTTCTCTGGCTCCTTCTCCAACAATAAAAAATTACTGCGTCACACTCCTCCTCACCTGAGTTCAGCTTGGAGGTTACTCCCTGCCTCCCTCTCCCTCCAAACCCTCTGATGAAGAGGCTGCTCAGTTGGCCACACTTTCCTGGCACCAGGAGGCAGGATTGCCATGCCCAAGATCTTGTTCTCCCTCCTTTAGAAGCACCTTCTCTAGGGATGTCTAGGCCATTCCCCCCCACCACCTGCTTCCCAAGCTGTATTCCTGTCACCTCATGATTCCAAGGCAGCCCCTCCCCATCAGAGGCAGTGACCCCTGGCTTGGGCTTCTTCCTCCTCACCCTACGGGCTGCTGACACCCTAGGGGCTTCAGAGGTCAGGGGTGGCAAACAGTCTAGCCTGCTGACCTGTTTCGTTTGTCCAGAATCATGATCTTGTGAAGGCCCCAGCAGAGGAGGGACCCGGAACCCTCCAGCCTTTTAGGGTCTAGGCTCCTTCCACATCCTGCCATTCTGCTTTAGACCCCACTCTTGAGTCCACCCTTGCCCTGTCAATAGACTGTCCAGATTCTGAAACCCACTTGCTGACCACAGCTTCCCTCCTTTCCCTTCACTTCCTGCCTCCCTCAATCCTGACCTCTTCTCTGCACACAGACCTCCAGGCCCTCCGGTCCCCTGGTTCTCCCCACTTTCTCCCAGGCTTCCAGTTTTTCCTCTTTGTTTTACCTCTGCCCTACTAGCCCCTCAGGACCCCATGTCTCCACCTCAGAACCTCATGTCTCTATTTGCAGGGTCAGATAAATCTACTTATCTTCAGAGGGATAATCCTAAAAATCAAAGTTGGTTAATTCTTTGTTTTCCTAAAAACTCCCAGAGATTCTCCACAAGCTACAGGGTTGGTGGTACTAAAAATAAAGGCATGCTCCTCACTTGGTCTTCTAGAAGAACACAAAAATTCTGGTTTTTAGCCACTGTAGCCCCTTTCATGAACCTGTGCCTGCACAACAGCTTTCCCCCTTACTCATTGTTTCCTTGGCTGGCTCTAGTCTTATTTTTAAACCCTATTGTTTTTGTAGGTACATATGTCTTTGTGTAAAGTCACAGAGGAAGACCAGCAAGGATACACCACAAACAGATAAACATTTTCTACCTCTGTGCAGGGCCAGAGGTGATCAAGATTGAGGGAGGGACTGGGTCAAAGGATTTAGCTTTATCTGTAAAGTTTATACTTTCACAAAGAGATTGTATCATGTACTTACTACTTGTGAGATATTAAAAACAAACCAGTTTAGTACCAGGAAACCTTCTCCAGACTTCCCAGGCAGAGGGAGCTGTTTCCTTTTCTGGGATTGAACAGCACCTTCCGCAAGTGTTATAGACAATACTGCATCTTTCTCCTTCTAGATGGGGAATCCCCTCAAAGGTACACACTTTATATAATTCATGCTCCCATACCTAACAGAGTGCCTGGCCCAGAGCAGGTGCTCAGCGAGTGCCAAACCCAGTGCATTGCCTCTGCCAGCTGGCTCCTTCGAAAGTGCTTGCTGTGGGTCAGACCTCATGCTAGTCATGAGCTGTTTCAAGTAAGTTCCACAATGTCCAAGGAAGGATATCCCCAGGAGTCTGAAATGTGGGTAGAGAAGACCCTTGGGTTATGTTAACACAAGGATGGGGTTGAACTGCTGTCCCCCAAGGCCAGGATCCAGTTCAGTGCTACTGTCTTGTCACTTGGCATGCTTCCGAAGCCACAGCCTCTTCAGCAGTTAATCTAAGGGCAAAGGCATCCCCAAAAGCTGAACTTGTCAAGTCCAGCCCTGATTTGTATCTCTAAGATGGAGAGGACAGCCCTAATAAACAGGCTGTCCCTATACATGGTGAGCCAGGGAGGCCAGAGTCAGGGAGACGCTCAGACCAGGCTTGGAGGGAGGCCCTGAGCAATTGTCTGAGGGGCTTGAAGAAGGCATCAGAATTTCAGTTTAATCTTGGGAGTCTGTAGCTTTTGGAATTTTCCAGAGAAATCTGAGCTCTCAGGTCATAGGATCCTATTTAGGTCCTATCTACTGCTCAAAGGCAAAAGGGCAAATCCTTAATGGGTCAATTGGATTGGAGCTATAGAGTGGGTGGGGATGGCTTTTAGGGTTGGTGAAGTGTGTGTCATGTGGCCAGGGCAACCCTTTAGACTTGTATGTGCAAGTGGTGAGGAGGCTGAGGAAGGGTCTGGATCAGTCTTTCTTCTGAGAATGCCCCCAATCAGCCCCCGTATTTAACCTTGAATAGGACAGTGTTCCTGGGGACTTAGGGCAATGAGGCTAGGTACTTGGGCTCCTGAAGAGATAATGGCAGAAATTTTGTAAGCAATCCCCTACCGCCCCACCCCTATTCCTCCCATCCCATCCAGCTCCCTCCCAGCTATCCACCCACACCCCACCACGGGCCTCAGAATTGCTGAAAAGACACCAGACCATGCAACACATCTTTAGACCTCAATGAACACCTCCAGTTAGTCCAACTCTTTGTAAGTAACTTTTATTTTTATTTACAACAGAATTGGTGGCTTTATTCCTTCATGTTTAGGGACAGTTGGCATCAGCAGCCAGACGGAAAGTCTGCAGTGAAGTCAAATTCATTCTGCCCCAGCCACAGCTCTGGAAGCTCATTAGCCCGGTCCAGTCCCAGTTCCACCACCAATGACATCAGCACCTCCTCATCCACTGGGTCCGAATCGATGATAGCAGGGCTCTGGGCACCAGCAGGAGGAGAGAGTGACCCCGTCCCTCCCGCCTGAGCCCCAAAGCCCCAGTTTTGCAGGGGCCCTGCCTCCCCTGGTTGGCCTGGAGTGGCTGCAGCCATCCCATGATACTGGCTATTAAGTTTCTGCAGCTGCATACTGGCCAGCAGGTGAGGGGCAGGGTGCAGGTTGAAGGGTGGGGATTTAGTGGGAGGGGTGGTGGTAGGAGAGCCTATTGGAGTTGGAGATCCAGAGGAACTAGTGGGAACCCCACTGGCCTTGGTTCCATTTGAGGCTACCCCGGGGTAGTGCAGAGTGGCTACTGCTTTGCGATCTTTCACCCCCAGGTTAGAGTAGGCTAGAGAGCTCATCTCTTGGTTGGCATCCTAGAAGACAAGAAAGGTGCAACATAATATCAGGCCCAGAAAACTCCTACATGCACTTCATTTGGGGCTAGTGGTGAGGAGGTAGTAAGAAGGCCCCCTGCAAAGTTAAGCTCCCAGCCTGAGGATCCTCTTGAGCTCAGTGTTCAGAGCAAAGTGCTCATGCTGGGCACCTGCCCTCCTAAGTGGCTTTGCTGCTTTCATCTCCCTCCCTCCACCACATCACTCTAAAGGCATCTCATTGTCCCTCTGCTCAGCCTCACATTAATCCTTTCTCTTTTTTTGCCCCCCCCCCAATCCTTTCAATGGTGTTGTCTTATTCTGATTCTAATTCTCTGCTCCCTACCCTGCCATCTTTCAACAACCTGATTGGGTTCGGTTTGACCACATTTAGGCAGAAGTTATCCTCATTCTCCCTAGAGAAAGCCCTGTTGTCTCCTCTCTGCTAAAGGACACTAGCCACCACACCTAGGAGGGCCTATAGGTGGCTCCAGACCAGTTCATCTTCCCAGGTCTAAATGTCTCTACTTGTAAAATGGCAAAAGTTACCTCCTTCACAGGTGAGGTGCCACCCTTGACATCAAGTGCAGGTCTCGACATCGTTGGCATTTCAGAGCCTCAGCAGAAGTTGGATAAATTGGTGGGAGGTGATGCTGCCAGCCGGAGCTGTTGTGCTGTATGTGATGGAGAAAAGGTAATAAGGGCAAAGGTTTCATTAGCCAAGAAAAAATTAGCAAAGCCCAAAGCAGGGCAATTACATACAGCTACGAGGAAAGGATGGTGACAGGGTTAGATCCAAGACCAGAGACCATGTGAGCAAGGAAAAAGATCAAGCTGGAACTTTGTTTGCTTGATTAGCCAGGTGCTGCTCAGGTAGCCAGCTATCCACATCATCAAGAGGGTACACAATGACCGCTTTCCCATGCCAGTGATTTCAGAGCCCCAAGTGTGTGTGTGGGGTGGCATGGCACTGTTCCTGATTCTGAAGGCATAAATATCCATAAGTAGCACACTGTCTTCATGGGCCACTGGCTTCTGAGCTGGGGCCTCCACTGGGACTGAGAAAAAGTGGGAAAGAGGGCAAGGAAGACCTAGAAAGCTGCAGGCTGTAGCCCAGGGAAGGAATCAGTCCCCAACGTAAATGCCATGGAGCTCCAAAGCCCTCACTCAGATATGGGTGTGAGAAAAGCCAGGCTGATAAAGGTGGGCTGGGGGCTCCGAGGTGGCCAGAGAGCAGCAAGGAATGTCTCAATTTCCTCCCTGCCTCAAGCCCCCTCCAAGACAGCCCAGGTAGCACAGGGCTTTCCCAGGACACCTGGTCTGAGCCCAGCCATACCCATCTGTAGTGACAAATGGGAATACTTCTTCCTGAAGGGAAACAGGAACAGAGATTCAATGGCTTTCCTATCAAGTGGCAGTGGTTCTGAGAGCAGGAGCTAGCACTCTTATGTTCATAGGCCTCGCCTGACCACTGAATCATACCTAGAATGATTCAATTGCTGAAGAAATAATTCCCTAGCTCAAGTGCTGAAGGATAAGGGGGTGAGGGAAAAATAATTCCCTCAAACCAGAAACCCCAAAAATTTCCTCACCTGAAAACTCTCGTTATTTTCCTAGAAGCTTGTTTTTAAGCTTCATCTATTCTAGCCTTCATGATGAATCAGAGATGTCGAATTTTGTATTTATAAATACCCTTTGCCCCAAGAATCTCCCACACCTTAAAAAGCATGTCTAATCTTTCGAACAAGCCTAGAATTCTCCTTGACATTTCCCTCCCCCAGTGGTCATTAAGAATCTGCTCAGACACTTCTAGAAAGTGGCCACTTACTACTTCTCTTCATTGTCTTTTGCACCACTTACTTGTAGGGTAGGGAGGCAAGAAAATAGAGAAACGAAAAAGTGGGGGAGAAAACACGAGAAAAAAAAAAAACAGTTGCTGGGTCATCACTACCACTGCTTGATTGGAGGCCTGTTTCTTCTCTGAGGCTACCCAGTCATGTTTCAAGCCAGTGATCACAAGACAAGGAGTCTAATCCATGTCGTCTTCCAGAGCCCAGCATCTTCGGTATTAAGCAATTTTCACATCCTAAGAAAAACGTTAAGGGGCCCTGCCCATCTTTCTCTGTTCGTATCCAGCCTTCCTTCTTTATGCCACCCAAATGTACCCGAGTGTACAAAATAAGAAACAATAGCAACAACAATAAAAAAGGGAGGGGAAAAAGTTATAGAATAAAAGAAAGAGCCAGAAAAAAAGTTTTAATATCAGTTCTTGGGGAAGAAGACCCTTTACCACATCTCCCTCTTCAGGCTGTGAGCTCTCCTAAACAGGACCCTGTTTCCATTCAGATCTGTTGTCTCTCTTGGCCGCTCTCTCAGCCCCCCTCCCCCACCCTCCCTGCCCCCCCCCCACCTCCCCGTCTGCCCCTCGCCTGGGTCTGTGCTCCGTAGGCGCTCAGTAAGTGTTGAATCCAGTTTTTGATGGAAATTCCTGACCCTGCTGGTCTGATTTTCTGTCTTCACACTGCCACCCAGCCCGTTCGAAGGCCAAACTTGGCAGCTCAGAAGCGTCCCAGCCTGCTCCTCAAGCCGAGAGCTGACCACTGTGAAACGACTGCTAGAGGCGGTCGGCAACCCAGAGCAACAAGTGCCTCCTCACACGCTGGTGCCTGGAGGCTCTGATACAAGTTCCCGCCCGCCCTTCTCTTCAGACCTTCCCTTAGCCCCACAGCCCCTCCCGCCTAGATGGGAGTGGGGAAAGGAAAGAAGGGACAGGAAAGGCAGGTAGGGGGCTCTCGTCTTTAACCTGTTGGGGGACCAAAAGTTAAAGTGGCACCAACTGGATGGCTCCATCTCGATTGCTATTTTCTCACTTAAGAGAAATTTAAGAATCCAAACAGTACTGCGGTTCCTCTTGGACGCGCTCTAACCCAGACCGGTCAGTTTCGCCACCTGAAAACTAAAGGCCCGTTGTTTGCGGACAGTTCGGCTGCCTTCCTCGCGGCATCCCAGGTGGAGCCGCCGGAGTTGCGGGCGACCTGGAGCATCCCTGCAAGGTGGGCACGAGCACACAGTTCACCAAGGCCCCGAGCTTCCGTCCCGCAAGTGCTGTGTCAGAAACAGATATTAGAGACCGCACCGACCGGCGGGCAGGGGAGCGGGCTCTGGTCCTCCGCAGCGAGTTTGCGGCCCCGCGGTGTGGCCGCGCGCGGGGACGCACTCTGGCACCAGCGGCGGCGGCTGCTGCCCCTCACCAACACTTACTGAGCGCCCGCGGAGTGACCTAAACGGCCGCAGGCTGAGCTACCTCCTAGGCAGGCCGCTTCTGCTCAGTGCTCTAACCCCGCTACCAGAAGAGTAGGAGAGGCTCCGAGAGGTTCGGTAACTTGCCCAAGGTCACAGCGCTAGAAAGTGGCGGAGCCGGGATTCGCAGCCACGTCTCTCTGACTCCAAGTCCGATGCTCGGCTAGGCAGGGACTCCGTGAGCGGCCAGCCCCGCGGCGCTGGTTTATAAGGAGAGGAGTGTGTGCGTGGGTGTGCGTGGCTGTGTGGGCGTGCGTGTGGGAGAGAGCAGAGGTAGACTGGGTAGTACAGGCAAGTTGCCCAAATTCGCTAACTTCCATCCCGCAATTGCCCCGAACTCGGCCCCAAAAGCTCCTCTCGCCTCCAGCCCCCAAAGGAAACCTGAGCTTTGTGCAGCCCCAGAGCCCGAGCGTCCAGATGCGGTCCGGGTGATTAGCAAAGTCCGTGGAAGCCCAGCTGGAGAAAGGGCGGGCGCAGGGA